GAGAGAGAGAGAGAGAGAGAGAGAGAGAGAGAGAGAGAGAGAGACAGGAAAAGATAAGTATTATAAAAATATTTTTGACCTGCTGTATACAATAAAATCAGCCCAATTCATAAGTCAAAGACAAGTGTCCACATGCTGCCAACTAGAACCAAATGCCAGATACCTATAGATTAAAGTGAAAATAATTCCACCTGTGTCCTCATATTCAGTTCATTACTATACTACTGAGTCATCTTGTTCCTATCTCCTCTCTATCAATTCAGTAGCTGACAGAATATTTAAAAAGAGACTGTAGCTTCCAAAATTTTTGCTTAAGCAAAATTTAAAATTCTTAGCAGCTTACCATATTAAAAAAAAGGATATTTAAATGCTTTAGAGTGACTCATAATGAAAGAACTACTTTACATTTTGAAGAACAATCTTTTTTTTTAAAAAAATCTATTTGTCCCTTCCAAAATAAACTTGTGACCATTATGCAAAGGCAAACATTAAATACAGAAATTTGGCATGTATGTGGAGAAATTCAATTTTCCATATAATACCAAGCTACTTTTTTGCTTCATAACTATAAATTTACACAAAATTTACTTGGCGGTAGTAGTAGAGTTTCCTGCACCTCGATGTCCAACATCCAGAGGTGTTCTTGGATTCCAGTACTTTGAAAATGAACACTTCATATCACAGTTGTATCCTCGTATTGGCTTAATAATTATATAATCAACTTTTAGGGAAGAAAAGAGAAAAAGCACAATTATTCTTTTCAAAACATATCATAAAACTTACTCAATTAATTTTTAAGTGACAAAATATCTTATATAACTCAATGAATAATCAGATAAAACTATGATCTCAGTGGTTTTGATGTTCTATCCAACAATAAAGCAAAGCAGGCAAACCATCCCTGCTGCTCCAATGTGGCTGCTTTGTCTATGTCCTGCTTAAGTTCACCAAGGGGGATCTGTCCACCATGCTGGAAGACTTTCTCACTTTCTCCTTACATTGTGAGGATTAACAGTTGAGAACCAGGGCTGCTCTTTTACAATCATTCACCTCCCAATACAACCAACTCATCTCTTTTTCTATAGTGCATTTTCTCTGGTATTTGTTACTCTTTTTTAAAAATTCCTCATTGCTCATATATTGCACCTTACAAATACTATGCACTTCCCTATTGCCTTCAATTCCTAACAGACTATTGTGTTCTATGTCTCATAGATATACAACACCACAGGTGTAAAACTGGTATTCAAAAGATGGGACCTTGTTTCTGGGAACAATTTGAGCTCATTAAAGGAACTCTGAAATTTCCTAAAAGCAAAGGACCTTTTCCTCTTGCTTAATTCTTGACCTAACTTGTCCATTTGTACTATATATTCCATATACACATACTGATGGACAAGCCCTACAGGTTGTCTAACAGTGTGTCGTCATCTGTGCAATAAGAATTGTTTAGCCACTTGGTCTTTCCCGTATAGATGATAAGGCCAAACTCTTTTGAATGGTTATGGATCTTTTCCAGAAGATTCTACAACATTTTCAGGATTCATGACCAGCAAACAAAAACATCTAGAGAATCTCACCACCCACAAGGAGCCTCTCTATAACTTGGAATATGTTCTGGATCTCCTAGATTGGTGACAAAAAATCTTTAGTGAGGGTAAGTCTATTTTATGCATTGCTTAATGTGATCAATTATGAATAACATAAAGGTGCACAACTACCCATCCTGAGGAAGTCTTCCAGCATATTGGGTGAGGTGGATGCTATCACTGGCTTCATTATACAGATGAGGAAAACTGAGGCAAAGAGAAGTTAAGTGACTTGACCAAGGTAACAAGACAAAGAAGTGCCAGAATAGAGATGTGAACCCAGGTCTTTCCACCTCCAAACTCAGTACATTATCCACTAAACCACACTGCTCCCATTAAATGTATAATTAAGTGTAAAAAACTAAGGAGATATGTCCCAGAAACACTGATACTGCAAACATAATTCTTAATCCCTCCTTCCTTCCATTCTAATGCTATAATTTAGAACCAATTAAAATTATACTTTGGGATAGTAACTTTAGCTTACATTGCAAAACTTCACATAACCTCTAATTTACCATCAGATATACCTTTAACTTTGCCAATTGCTTTTCTTGAATTCCTGCTCATGATGGGAAGTGTGAGAATTCCTGCACTTCTTCCACTTTCAGCAATAGTAGAAGACAACAGACATGCTGTACCAACATGTCCTGGAAGTGCATCTCCCTGAACAACCGTTTCACTTAGATCTTCCTGAAAAATTAAGTATTAGAACAAGTAAAATTTTTATATAAACTTTTTATAATTTGACAGTATTCAATATCAATTCCTGAGCTCCTGAATATTTTAAGAGGAAGAAAGCAGTCATAATGTAAACTGATTATGTAAATGAATTTATTTTTTAAAAAAAGCTTAGTTTAAAACTAATCAGGCTAGTTTACTTTTAACTGATTTTTATTTATTTATTTAATTTTTTTTAAATTTGCTTTTTCGGCTAGGCAATGGGGTTAAGTGACTTGCCCAGGGTCACGCAGCTAGTAAGTATTATGTGTCTGAGGCCAGATTTGAACTCAGGTTCTCCCGACTACAGGGCTGGTGCTCTATCTACTGCGCCACCTAGCTGCCCAACTGATTTATATTTATCTCAGGTTAGATCAACCTGTACTTGCAAACACCTAATTCTGTAAGTTATATTCAATTGATAACCATGAAATCCTATTAAAATTCATTAACATTTACAGAAATTTTTTTTTTGCCTTTTAGTGAGGCAATAGGGGTTAAGTGACTTGCCCGGGGTCACACAGTTACTAAGTGTCAAGTGTCTGAGGCCAGATTTGAACTCAAGTACTCCTTACTCCAAGGCTGGAGCTCTATCCACTGTACCACCGAGCTGCCCCCCAGAAAAATTTTCTGATTGTAGTACCCTCTGCCCAGGTAGTCTTGTGCAGTCTCCTGAAGGACAGCTAAGTGATACAGTGTAACTGTGCATGCTAAGGGAGATAACAACTCCTTACTGGCAGGGAGAGAAGGACAGACGCAGATAATAGGCAAGGTATACATTAAATAACAAGTGAGAGGCCCAACAACTACAGGAATATTGGGAAAAGGCAGCATTCCAATATCTACCTTGGTTCCCTATACCTCAGAGACTGCTAAGAGTGGACTACTAGGGTAACATTATTCTTCTAACAGTTGAGGTAATTTCATTTTATTTCTGAGTCACAGAGCACCTAACTTTTGTGTGTTCTATCTCTTTATACTAATCTGTTTGACTTCCCTAATATTAAGAAAATATTAAGAAATATCTATTTTGAGAACTAGGCCTTCATTGTCAAAATCCCTCTCCTAGCCACATTAGTCAGTATAGTCTATATCCTGTGTGTTTAACGCATTTATTGTTTGAAAAATTGTAATCCACATATATAATGTATGAAATACATACAAACCACACTTGGATTTTGTTGATATAAAATTTTTCCAGATAGGCAGATATCCATCTGGCAAAGGCTGGGACCATTTTAATTCACTTCAACTCAAAAATTAATCATCAACAGGCATTTACCAAGTGTCTACTATGTGCTGTGGTAGACTTGGAAAGAAATACAAAGAATAAAACAATATCTACTCTCAAGGAGCTTACATTCTATGAGAGTAACAATTATATGTATATGTAGGAAATATAATATAGTTAAATGTAATACATAATACTTTGCTTTTGGGGGTTAATATACATGATTTTGACCTTGTATAAAGTTGTATAAAGTTAAGAATTTATTAAAAAAACACATTTTGAAAACACACATACCCACAAATAATACTAAGTTCTCACTGATGGACAGATATACTTAAAATTACTCACTTCAAAAAAGTCAAAGATTAATTCCAAATTATCTGGTTTCATCGTTTGTACGTGATATTCTGTCCATCGATCAGGTTGCAATCCATAACCACATTCTGGTTGAGAATGCCGACATTTGAATTCATTGTCACTTACTAAGGATATCTCTAAATTTTTTGCCAGTTTGTGATGGATAGTGGGAGATAAGCAATCTTCATCATCTTCTGGGCCTTCTAATGTCACCTTTACCCTATAAACCATGAAAAAGTGCAAAAAAAAATTTAATTTAGCATAAAAGAAAATCCTATACAAAATTCTATATACAAAGAGTTTAAAATTAAAAGTACTAGAATATCTGATTTCAAAACGGCAACCTATTACATTAACTATACTTTTAAGATAAACAAGAGAAATTACATTTCTTGCATGGAGGAATACCTCAAATAAAGCTGAGGCACAAACTATAGTTTTACAGCATATTGGCTTGTTTTCCTACATATACATTTGAACAACAATATCTAAAGTGATGGTTTTGTTGTGCTGTTATTGTTTTTTCCTTAAATCGGGTAAGTTACAATAATGTTAACTGTGACTCCTGTTACATATTCAAGCTCTGTAAACTCTGACATGTCAACTTACCACTTCAGTATGAGAATTTCATACATTTGATTGTATATATGTGCACAGATTCAACACTGAAACTATGTGTGGGTACCAAGGATTTCAAAAGATGACATGGGATTGGATACCTAAAGTGAGTATCAATAATTTTAACAAATAACGTGAGTTTGAAGGACTAAAATTCAATAGTTTTACTTTTATAACAAGATACTTTTTGGATTTAGTTAACTCAAAAATGATATGATTGAAAAAATAATGTTGAATCTATTAAAAACAGAATCAAGCATACTTAATTTGTAGGTTAATTGAAAATGACACAAAAGGCTAGTTACCTAATAAGATCTGCCTTCTACTAATCAAACTTCTCTATATCAATTTTCTACATACAGTTTGTGACAACAGAAGTCAACTACAAATTCTTGTTTTTAAATTTTCACTAGATGTACAACTTATATTTGAAATCAGAGTATAGTTTACTAAGTTTCTACTAGTTCTACAACAATAATCAATCACTTAAGAACCAATGGCTTACAAGCTAAGTAATTTCAATGAATTGATTCATGTAACCAAATTGACAGCACGAAAAAATCCCACATAAAGAAATGTAACAACAGAATTATAACTATATCACTCACTCAATTTTAATAAATGTTAACATCTATCTCTAGAGCTAACAAGCTTTGGAGGAGCCTCTGAAGTATGATATTATGGCCATGACTCAAATTCCTAACTGAAAGCTAATGGAGCATTTTTATCTCCACCTAATATACAAAATCAAACTCCTCAGAAATGGAATGCTCATAAACAGTTTTAAGAAAATAGCAATACTTGCTATAATTCCTAGGGCACTAGGACGAATGGAAATTCTTCTATGACAACAGAACCCACTTAAATGGACTATAATTCAAATATGCAACAGCTACAAAGTAACAGATAAAAGTCTATTTCATAAAGTTACCTAAAAAAAGCCATAACCCTTGTGGGGGAAAAAACAAGTTTGAAAAGAATGTTTTTTTTTTTAAGTATGTTACTATTATTTATTGAAAAGCAGCCTAATAAAGACTCTATTTGTTTATTTGTGACCAAATGCTGTGATACACTACCATAATGGGAAATTTTCTCCCATAATAAGAACTTTTGGGTCTAGAATTTTATTTAAAATTCTTGAGTTGTTTCCTAAAACTTTAAAGTCCATAACTCGCTGAATGTATCACACTGTCTGGAAACTCTATTTTGCCCCCAAATCTGGTTTGTACAAAACTTAAGGGTCAGTCTATAGCTACACTCAAAAAAAGAAAACAATTAAGTGCTAGAATACAATTATGGCAAAAAATGTAATAGACCTTGGAAGTAGAGACTGTTTGACTCATTGAATTTGGACAAACCAATTATCTGGCATAGTAAATAGCACACTGGAGGTATTCAGTGATTGACTTATTCACCTCAACAGAAATACAAGCAAACATCTTTACGTTAAATATGCACTTATATGTAATATATTCCAGTGTGTACCAATCTTCTTTCCAAACAGATCTCGTTTTAGAAGTACAATCCCACAATTAGACCAATAAAGAAAATGGATATGTAAAAATCAAATTTCCTAAATGTTCTTCTATAAACTAATCTTTTCTAAAGAATGAGGATGAAATACTTTCTCTTATTAAGCATGGGCAAATAGCCAGAACAATAAGAAAACTTTCTAATTCATTTTGGGCCAGGTTTATACCTCAATGTATTTGAATCCTGGCTATATTACTGATTTTAATAGTGAAGTATATATCCCTGCCCTAAAATGAATCAAAAGACCTAAGACTTTACTAATGTACTGCCTCCACTAAAGCAGATCACAGACTGTCTTTCCTTTAATAGACAATACTCATAAGTTGCTAAGACAAAAAAAAATCATCTAGTAATTAATCTTTTGGCAGCTCCAAATTTAGCTAGCCTGGGCCTTGGATGATAATAATGTCTGTGACTAGTCATGAACTTTAAGCTTTTCCAGTTTGGTAGAACATGCTACCATTGGTATAGCCTTGAAGAACTCAGAAGTTATCTCCAAGCCAGCATGAGACAATGGATGGGTCTATAAAATGGGAATAGAAATATCAGTACTATCTTAGATGTTAATTAACATATACTTTCTACATTTCAGTGTATGAAAAAATTCCAAGTTTATGGGTAGCTAAGCAACCAAGGTCTTCTCTTATTTTCTGTCCTAACTTGGAACCTCACTAGTAAGTCACTACTTTAGAAGCAGATAACGTATTTACTTTGTGCCATAAAATGTATAGATAGAACTGATCTTACGAAATTTATTCATATAATTACCTCATTAAGCATTTTATAGCTGAAAAGGGTTTCTGAGATTATCTGGCCAAAAGCTCATTTTACAGATGAAGAAAATGAGGCTTATAGAAGTCAAGAAACTTACCTTAACAGTTAGTGCCATGAATAATTCTAGAACCTAAGTCTCTTGACTTCATTCCAGTTGTCTTTTCATAATAAAGTGCTACTTCCCTTTGGGGCAACTTTTTAACCACTTTATTACAATATTTTTAAAAGTCTACCAAGATTTAGAAAGAGAAATATAATATGCAAACTATTTAGATTCACCACAACTAAAACATTATGAGTAAATTTTTGTGATAGAACTCTGACAAGTATAGTCCTCATAGTCTTTATCATAAACCAACATCATTTTGTATCCCAACAAACGGGTAAGATAACTAAGTAGATATAATAATCTGTTTTTAAAGCAATCACACTAATTTTGATCTTTATACACTTTAGTGAGTAAAAGAAACTGATGTTTCCTTTTACTCTCTTTTCCTAATCCACTCAGCAGTAGAGTTTTGTAGAGCAGTAGAATAACTGAATAATAAAGAAGTAAATAGTAATGCCTCTCTCTAAATTTTATTTTTAAAAATTTATTAGGTAAAGGATTATCAATACTGCAGAATAATGTAGATATAATCTTATTTCAGTCTGACACATCAGCCATCCAAAATTTATGTCAATGTAGCTCACTCTTTTGAAAGTTGTTGATAGTCAAGAAAGAGTAGCATTATAATAATCAAGGTTCCTTAAAGTTATTTATTTCAGCACTCTATTGTCAAATGATCTTCAGTACAACTCTAAATTGAACAGAATTTAAAATGTATTAGGGTCATTATTTCTCAAGAAAGAATACCTTTCTTAAGAGTTTTTTTTTAAAAAAGCACAAATTCACTTCTTACTTGGTTACATATGCACAGTTTAGTTCTATTTCTTAAAGTTATTAATCAGGATTACAAAATGCTAACAAATACCTTAATATTGATATTAATAGCAAGTTTCTATTCTAATTCTATTAATCTATCTACTCTATTAATTCTAATTATATTAATTTTATTAATCTATTCTATTCTATTACGAGAGAAACCGTCCTACAAAAGAATTCAGAAGATGAAGGATTATCCTAATACTAATTTTTCCTACTGATTTTATTATTATATAAATTATAATAACACACATAATTTAAGCTGATCTCTATTAGAGACTCAACATGTATGTGCACATACAAACACACACAGTATTTAGAGTTCCCACAATTTCTAGTTCAGAGCATTTAAGTATGACATGATGGCAACAATGTGTGAGTAAAAGGAAGCTCAAACAAGTATCTTCTTTGATATTAAAGGGATTAGAAGTTATGTGATAATAGAAATAAACACATGATATTATCTACAAGTAAATGTTACTCTTTTGATTTACCAACTACAAACAACAAAAACCATTCTGGTCTGAACACTAAAAAATGAGGGATAAAACGTTAACACACTGTAAAGTAACCACAAATTTTTGTATCTTATGACAAACATATGGTCATACCTAAACCTAGATTTTTTAAATTTTTTCTTGGATATCAAGACAGGTGGTCCTGTAGAATAATGTAGACGTAATCTTATTTCAGTCTGACATGTCAGCCATCCAGTATCCAGATTTTCAACACCATCTAGCAAAGTAAATATGATGGAGAGTAGTAATTGTTACATTAAAACAACAACAACCTGAGATATGCAAGAAGCTCTCAAAGGTGTAATAATGGATCAATTTAAAATATAGGATGGTGCTTTAAGAATGGCACATCACACCAAAAAAGAAGGACATCAGTAAACATGTAAACCTGGTAGTTAATTACTACACACTGCAAACTGAAAATAACTGAGATTAGGTAGGCATAATACATGTACGCGATGGATTCATCCAATAAAAAGCAAGAATAATCACATATTTATAGCTTATAACTTTTATATTAGGGGTGCTATCATAAAGTATAAGACGCAAAAGGGGGGACTAATTTGTCTCATTTGTAACTGAATGATTTTAGCCATTTTAAATGAGTAAAAAATTTAAATTTAAAACAAAAGCAATTGAATGTCATCTGTTTTTGAAAGAGTAATCTAGAACTTTTCACTAATTCAACTTTAACATTGTATTCAGCAAAAGGGAAGAAATGGTATAGCTGCAGTAATATATTCATTTAACTAAATCCCTAGATCTTTTTAACCAAAGATTTTCTAATACAATCCAATCAGTTACAGGTGAACTGACTAAAACTCTGACAAGTGAAAATGACTTCTACAAGGAATATCACATGATTATTTAATGGCATTCAAAACTACCCAGATATCCTGACTTCCAACTCAGTGTTCTGTATCATATGTTATCTAACAACTTAAATAGATTAAAACTTGGCAGACTTGAGAAAGACCATGTTCCAAGATGGTGGTAGGTCTGTCAATTTTTCCACAAAATACCTCCTCTCACACTTTTCAGACCATTCATTTCAAATATAAGGTATTACAAATAATAAAATATAAATTATTGAATTGCATAATTTCACATTGTTTCACACACTTAACATGATCATATGGCAGGACTACAATAAGAAAGCATTGTTTCAGACTTATTTACCCCCATATAAATTTAATCTCTAACAGGAAGAGTAAAAAAAAGACTTAATAAATTCAGCAAGTTCTTTGACTACTTTTTTTTTTGTAAAGCAACTGGGGTTAAGTGACTTGCCCAGGGTCACACAGCTAGCAAGTATCAAGTGTTTGGTCTGAGGCCGGATGTGAACTCAGGTCCTCCTGACTTCAGGGCTGGTGATCTATCCACTGCACCTAGATGCCCCTCAGCAAGTTCTTTTGAAAAAATGTCATGTACTTTAGAACTAAGATTTTTCACCAATGTCTGAAGTTCAAGAAAATTCTTTTCAAAGATTCTTAAGAGAATGCTTAAGCCATTCTCAAACTAAAATTTAAAATAAAAGCAATGAGATGTCATCTGTTAATTTAAAATTAAAATTAATTCTTTTTAACTTTGTTTCAGAAGTAGGCCCAAAGAAGATACACCAATTTCTCAAAAGAGGTAATTCAAAGTTTTATTTGACTCTAGAAAACAATTTGGAAGTTATCCATTTCAAACTAGAATATGATATTACAATAAAAATGTGATGCCATATGTATTAATTTGGAGAAATTAGAAAAATCATGTAATCAATTAAATCTCTCCACCAAAAAATCTTCCAAATTATATTTTATGTGTAATAGTTACTTTGATACATAGAAGTCAAAGAAGGCTAAGATATAACACAAAAAGTTTAAATGATTCAAATATTTCAGACCAAAATTCTGATGTAAAACAATTTCTTTTCAACATGGGGGAAATTCAATTTTTATTTCTTTGAATTGTTCACGAATCAAATACTATATAGTCTTCATGTGTATGCATATAAACATACACACATACATGCATACACACACGTATATAAAGCAAAACCTCAATTAACTTAAATCTTCTAGCAGATGTTGTCCTGAATGATAAAAACAAAATCATGCTAAAATGAGAATTAAAAAAAAATAATACTTTCAGGTGATGGCTTAAAGTCTGTATTCATTCAATGCAACGTCCTACAGCATCTACATTAACAATATGATATCGTAACTGATACTCAGCATAATAAACTTAAGGCATTATAAAATCTTTTAATTTAAAAAAAGTCAAGTATTTCAGTATGAAGCAACTAAGATAGAAAACAGAATAAGACATATTAGCAAAATATGCAACAGTATCTAAAATAAAAAGCATCTTTTGCTTATCTGCCAATTTAAGGGGAAAATTGAATTACTCATTATTCCCCATTACCATAGCTTTTACCACAAGTATGTTGAGTATGTACACATACATGCACATAAAAATTCACCTTAATATTTGCAAAATATGATCATTTAAATGTCCAAACATTAGTAATAAATGTTATCATAGAGTTATTATGAAATACTATGTGCTCAGAGCAAAACACAGTAATTTATAAATTACCTACTGGTTAACTTCTTGAAACCAACAAGTTATACAAATACCAAGATTAGGTTAACTTTTTCAAAAAGCAAAATTAGTAATGCAAAATGGACATTCCTATGCTACAGTGGAATCATTTTTTTGCTTAGATGTATTCAATATTTCCAAAAATAGTAATTTTTTTTAGCAAATATATCATTTAAACCATTTATTTATAATGAAACTTGAGCTTTTTCATAATACTTAAGAATATACTAAATCTAAGTAAGTCTCACTTACTGTGGATTCCAAACTGTCCATCATCAACAGTGCTTTCATTTTCTAAAAGTAAAGGGAAAATAAGTAGAGAAATATAATTAAAAGTCACAATTTATACAGAATGAACAACTATGATAAATGTCTATCTTATTTCTAAAGACCTTATCTAATGAATAAGCATATTTATTGATGCCTTGGGTAAAAGATTCTTTTCCTCTTGAAATTATTAGCTATCCCAAATTTCCATGGTGGCGTAAGAAATTACCAAAACAGAAAAAAGAAGCATGGCAGTGTTTCCTTCAATAATAAACAGAGTTCTGCCCTCATATTAGAGGATCAGAGATTTAAAGCTAAAAGGAACCTAGGTCATTGAATCCAACACCTCCTCCTTTTAGAGATACTGAAAAGTATGCTGAATGGAAAGAGTGCTCTTTGTACTACACTGCCTCTCTTTGTTTGGACTTTAAACACCAATGTATCCAATCAAAGCATTTCTTGATTTTATTTTTGTAAAGGAGGAAATAAAATATATAGATTTTTCTAGATGAAAGATTTGGCACAATTAAAATGCTTATTCTTAATCTGTGATATCAATCCTATCTAAAATTCCATTTTTCCACTGAAACTAACCTCTATATCCAACCATAGTTTAAAAAAAAAACCTTAGAAATAATAAACTTACCTATACACATAATAGAACTGTGAGAAAAATTGCATTTAATAAGAAACCCAAAATTTGTCCTAGAAATAACTTTTTTCCTGCCAGAAATAGTGATTAGGTAAGAAAGACTGCAAACTTCCAACTTCCAAGTAAAAAGAGTAATTTCCTTTTATACTGTGATGATACCAACAACTAGCTCTTTTTAGTGCTTACTCTCTACCCCCAAATGCAGATTTTTTCTCCCTCTGTAAAAATATGTATGCTATGTTTGGAAAATATAGAATTAAAAATTAAATGTTATGCTTTCTCCAGAAAGATTCTCTAGAATATTTCACATGGCTCTCAAATTTAACTCTACAGTTTACCAGAATTTAAAAGTTAAATCTCTTTAAATATGACTAAAATGAATTTCTATTTACAATATGACTGTTCTGAAATACATAATATGTCAATACTTGAACTCTTACTTACACGTTTATTTAACATGTAATGTTAAATGTTTTCCAGCCTCAATATAGGATTACTATAGTTATATAGATATACGTAGAGATATAGATATATCTATATATCTTCTTCAAAGTACTTCCCAACATATTAACACTTCGAAAATAAGAAATTCCAATAAAGAGGATGGAAGGTGACAGACCAAAAATAATAGAAATGTCATCTCTACTGCCAAACAGAAATATTCACTGCTTCGAAAACTAAAGTAGTAAGCCATTTATTACCTATAAATTCTACTGTCCACAAACTAAAATGATGTAACTTTCCTAGAAATCAGGCAACTACAAGTAAAGAGAGGTAGTAATTTAAAATACGTGAAATGAACTTCAATGTGTCATATACAGTAAGTCAGTATAAATTTTCAAAAGTGCAAATGTTTATTTAAGAATAAATGTCTTAAGTTTCAAGAGAACTTAATGACACTAAAAGATAACTAACTCAAAGTCTAACACATTCAGCAAGCGTGCTTCTTTTAAGTATTTTAAATAGGGGAAATATGTATCCAAGAAGTGTGGCTTCAATTTATTCAAACAAGCTGAATTTTAATATTTATCAGTCAAAAAATAATCACCACTAGTTAAATTTTTATTATCCTTTGGAATATATAACTAAAATAAAGTTACCAAGGTAAATCTTATGGCTTAGATCACGTTTTCTTCTTTAAATTTCATTTTTTTTAAGCCTGAACTAATTAAAGTAACATAATAAAGCCATGGATGCTCAATCTCAAAAACAAGGAAATTAGTTCAGAGAAAAAAAAACTTTTATGGCTCCAATTGAGAATATTCAATACATATTTTATGATTAAATGAAATACACCAAAAATATGAGAACATAACTAAGAAAACATTTTTCCACAGTGTCAACTAAAATGTTGAGGCAAATTAAGAATTGTTTATTTTTGAGAGTAAGCTCCATGATGTGCTAAGTGAAATTTGTGGAACTGGTAATTAAGTTCTCATCTTGCTAATAAAATTTGTCAAATTTCACTAAGCCATTGTGCAGCATATTAGTAACTTTATGCATATGCCTCAAACAGATGCAGTTAATGCCCATACCTAAAGGGGTTATTGATCGTGGTTGTAGATGAGTCTCCCACTTGTGAACTATGACTTGACATGGACCACCGATAGTCTGCAATTTAAAAGTTAAATGTCTGCAATAATTTCTCATATCTTGTTTTCTACCCATGACTCCACTAGATGTTTGTGGGGAAAAGTTTTAAACTAAATATGAAACCAAGAGGTTCATCTTTCTTATTCTCACAATGCTGTAAGCTAACAAACAGAAATTCACCAGGTAACAGAGTAAGTTGGCTGCTAAAAGAAGTGAAGGTAGAAGCAGTAAAAGGAGAGAAATTAACTAAGTGACACATTAAATTGTCTTTCAACCTCTGAATCTTAAATATGGGACTTACACTACATTAAACATAGTAAACATGAATGTTTTCCCCAGAAAACTCATGTCGATTAAAAATACATGCTATGAATTTGTTAAATGAACATTACATACAGTTTGCATTCCAGCTACAGACTTTGGACAGCTACTTTCTATAACGTCTTTATTTTCTACTCTATTCCATTAACTGTAAAAGCATTTTTGGAGGGAAAAAAATCACCATATTTACTTCATCTACAGAAATAGTTTACACATATTAAAAAGAAACAAGAGGACACACCAAATCTGAATGTTAAGGAATAAGTCCCCCATTATTCGGTAATGAAAAGCAGGACAAAAGATGGACAAACAGGAATGAATTAGGATTTCTTTAGTCTTACTATGAATATTCTTTAATGCATAGGCTAAGTTTGGTTAAAAGTAAAGATTCAAATTGGTGAATTTTAGTAATTTATTTAATAAATCTGTTATAAGTTAAACTAGTAAAACACACACACAAACTTTGTTGCTATATAAAAGGTTATTGGGTATGAAGATTTTCAGTAACAAAAAAAAAATCTATGAAAAATATAGTCTAACAAAAATGAGTTGTCCTCTTACTAAAATATATGTACTTTATAGGTTCTTCATAATTTTTCCAGCAATTTATACATTTAAAAAGGCTCTTAGAAAACAGAATGAACGATTCTTTTCCAAAAAGACCTATCCCTCAATCTGCATCACAGATGTTGTCAATTGCATACAGATAAACAAATGTTGATTAAAGAATTAAATAACTATATACTTACTTGCAATTGTTACACAGATAATTTGTATAACTTTTGTACATACTATTTGGTGTATATATTTTCTTTCTCAACAGAACAATATCTCCTTGAGAGCAAGGTCCGTTATTTTTTCGCCTTTTTATCACCAATGCTTGGCACCATGCCAGGCACAAAGTATGTCTTTAAAAATACCTGTTCCTTAACAGTTGTGCTATTTTTAAAATCAAAACTACTCAAATACCTGAATTTTCTAACACAAATGAGGAAGAATATAACATCAAATTTTAAAATGCCCAGCCAAGTGATACAAAATCTAATTAAGGTGAGGTAGTACGGTTACAATAGAAAGAGTATTACTTTGGACAGTTAGAGGATTTGAATTCAAATACTTGCTATTGATGGTACTACTGGTTATCTATCATATTTATTCTCTCTAGACCTCAGTTTCTTCATTTGTAAAATAAGGAAATTGGACTTGCTAACTTACATGGTCCCTTCAGGTTCTGATTCCATGAAAGCTAGATTTTAATATTATTGCCAATATGCTAAGTTCATTTAGAGCAGGAATCTTGTTTTATTATCTTTGTATATGTATCTTAGCCCCTAACACAATGCCATCATCATAGCAGGGACTTAATATTTGTTGCTAAATATCACTTCAAAACTCCTGTGAGTTTAACAATATAAAATATGTCTAAATAAAACAATAAATCTCTAAATTTTCAAGTGCTCTCTTACAATATTTTAATATTAATTAAAATTACCAACAAAATGTCAAAACGGCAGTGATGAGGAAATACATAATGAATCAATTATGTGCATTTCTGATTACACTATCACTTAAATTGACAAGCTGACCAAGAAATGCCCAAATTCTGAAGATAAAGATTTAAATATGAGGGGCTGTTGTTTTTTTTTTTTTCATCCAAAACACTGTCAATGGTTTTGAAAGGACAACATTCAAATCAGCCTTGCAACTTGAAGTAAATTGAGCTGGAAGACTGAAAGGAATGTTTATGTTGTCTGTCTATTTAACTGGTTACAAAAAGAGCAAAATGATAATCAAAATTTGAAGACATCAAAGAAAAAACTATCTTTACCAAAATAAGGAAAACTTTATTTAATTTTATAACCATATAAAAATATTTTTATAACTTCATAGAGTCTCAATTTTGCTAGTGTTATCCTCTTTTGCTACAACTTTTCCACTTTAAAAATAACTTTTAAAAAGTCAGAATGAACCTCACTGGTATAAAATTACACAAAAATAAATATAATCACTATCAAGAGTTTAGGCCTAAATTTTTGGAATAACAGTCATTATTGCTAAAGTAAACTTAGCCAAACTTAGCCAAAGTTGGCTAATGAAATACGACACTTTGGCTAGTGAAATACAATACTTTGGCTAGTGAAATACAACACTTTGCCAAAGCAAAATTGTAGTAATTAAGAGTCCAAAAAGAATTAATAACTCCAAAAACAAAAAGCAATTTGATCCTTTTACTCTTCAAATATTGGGTGGGCCTACATTTTTCAAAATTTAATGAAGTTGCTAAAATCTTGCAATGAAATCCATTTTGAAAAAATCTAGGTATTCTCAAATTTATACAGTAAAAATTCAAACATTTATAAAACATAAAGGTAAATGCTTATTAGTGAAAGAAATAGTTATAAAGAATAAACATTTCCCATGGGACATAAATACTTAAACTTCAAACTTACGTTATGTTGTAATGAAGTTTTACTACATAAAATGAGACATTAGACAACAGCCCATTTACACGTGAATCCAGTGTTAGGTGGAGAAAATCCCTTACAATCTTTTCCATCTCCAAATCTATTTTGTATCATCTACAAAAAGATATGCTATCAAAGTCTAATATTAGAACATGGGCCAAGTTCGAAACATGCTGTATTTGGCAGTCCTATATGACATTTGTACAAGCTCTTGCTATAAACAATGAGTGTATAACCCATATTTCAAAAAAGCAACAAAAATAAACCTTGGAAATGTCAATGTGACAGTAATGCACTGAACTTTGAGATAGCCTGCAATATGCTAAGTATAATGTTACCTAAGAGGAATTGAGAAATGTTACCTAAGAGAAATTGAGAGTTTAAAAAAAAAAAAGCAGCACTATTACCAGTCTGAAACAATACAAATTGTATCTGAAGAGTGATTTTTTAATCTACCAGAAGTAGAATTACTGAATTTGTTCTTAAATAATCATGCAAATTAACTTCGAGATGAAAAAAACATCAGTTGATTTAAGTCAGAGATAGGACTATGATGTTTAATTTCTGAACTGCAGTTTTTCAAGAATAGAAAATAAATTTCTCCAACATGTAATATTGAGACTTTATAATTTTTTAAGCTAGCAAACTGAATGATGAGCTATTCTTTGGAGCCTTTTACTATCTTCATTTGATATAAACAGAAACACATACATCATGACATTTGGATAATTTCTTCTCAAATCTTCCTCTTTCACAATTATTCTGAGGAACACTTGCAAACTAATTTGGGGAATTTTATGATGGGCCAAATCAAATACACATTAATTAGCTATTAGAAAAACTACTTTTTTAACAGGTGATGAAAAGATCACCTAAAATAGTGAACACAGAACTCATAAAAAAGCAGCTTAATTTTGAGAACATATGGTTTCTAAATAAAAGTTATTAAGAACACCTGTATGAAATGGATTAAGAATACATGTCCTCAAATAAAAACAATCTGAAAGGACATGACATACTGTCAAACAATGAAGTACACATTTCAAATTAATAGTTACTGCTGGTCAGAGGTTTTTTGGGTTGTTTTTGTTTTTAAGATATAAACTCTACTCCTTGCATATTGGAGATCACCTACCTGTCAGCTTTATAATTACTATAAACTATGGCTCATAATCATTTCCAGCAGCTTTTCAAAATCACTCAAAGTATAAGGAAATATGTGAAAAATGAAAGGAGAAATCACATTCCATGCCCTTCAACTTCTAAAACATAAAACATCCATACTAAAAAGCCAAATATGGCAGACTAAATATGAAGTGTGAAATGTGATTTAAACCTCTATGCATTTATTTCTTGGGAGACCACCCTGAAAAAGAAAATTGCTTCTGATGCCCTTTTAAGCTTCCCTTCATTTTATTTTTTTCAAGAAAAAAAAAATCCTCATATACCACATCCACAGACAATGCAAAATTGAAACAAATTTCAGAATGTTTCTAATTAAAAATCTATCTCATTAAAAAGTGCCACCAAGTACAGAGGAAAAAAGGGTGTCATTTAAGCTGGTATGTGGGGAAAAAACACTTTATCCACACGTATGGGAGATTATGTAGCTATTTACTCTATTCCATGAAAAACATACTTACCGTGGCAGCCCCTGCATCACACGGTACATGTATAACACGATACAGAGTACCTACTTAAAGAAACACACTCACCAACATATACTGTAAACTTTTGCAAGTATTACAAGAGGGAAAAAAGCTTTTGTTGTTGTTTTTTTTTTTACTACAGGCAAATTTATTGCCAATTCTTCTGAAAAGGCATTTTGAACTATTCTTTTTATTTTAAAAGAAAAGACTATATATTGGCTTAATTTGAACTGTGTTGACAATAGTCCCAGTTTAGAAAGCTCTTAGCCAAAAAAAGCCTATTGATTTTTTCTTCTTAAAAAAAATTTTGATTTTTTGAGTACAAATTTAGTTGGTCTTACATTATTGTGAATTTAAAACAGCACAATGGCTGTCACTAATGTGAACTCACAATAGTAATGAAGATATGACATACACATTTAATATTTACTTCAAACTAAATGACTTTCCTGGCATTACCCCCATAATAAAAGGAAGACTTAGATGCCATTCTAAAGCAAAATAAAAATAATACTACTGTCAAGGTAAGCCAATATTCAGTTCTACCAACCAATATTATCCAAATTCAAATACTGATTATTTACAATATATTCTTAGAATAATGAACGTAATAGGTGCAAAAGACAGCTGGGATAGGTTTGCCAATTTTCTTATACTGGTGGCTAAAAGAATGAAGCAAGAGTGACTACTTGATTTACTTCATAAGTAATTTAAAAAAACTTTCTGAAAGGAAGAAAATGTATTTTTTTAAATGTCAGTCTCTCTTGTTTGTGCTTAATTTACTTCCATGTAGCACTTCTCTTGCCTAAACACTAGGCTAATCACATGCAGCCCCATTATTTTTAAGAAAATCTTTTCAATTCAATGAACTGAATGAAACTCTTTTTTGAAGAAAACAGCTAAACTCTCCAATTCTTTTACTACAAATAAGAGAAAATTACTAAAATCTCATCTCATTACAAATCACTGTGTTCAGGAAGCTTTAACATCTTTTTGTGGCCTGTGGCCTTAATTATCAGTGCTACCAGTGTTTTGAGAATTTTAGAGAAATCAATCTAATTTAATTAACTGCTAAATACTACCTTCTCGAGTATTTGAAATGCAATCCACGTGCAGCCAGCACATGATAGTTGCTATGAAAAAAAAAAACTATCTAAAACTAGCTAGATACTCCCATAATATTATTGCAACTAGGAGGAAAAGCATACTCTTTGAGACTCATGGCTATTACATACTTACAATTAACCTCAATTTCACTGCAGACAAATTGTCCAAGCGCCAAAGGCCATTTGCTTTAACATTTTAGCACCACTAAGAAAATTACTTTCAGTCATAATAAAAACATTTCTCAAATGGTTCCTGGTTCAATTTAAAAGCATTTTTTCATAAATTATATTATTAATTTTGGGAAAAAATTAAGAAAATTGTTATAGAACTGGAAATTAGATTAAAAAGTACATACCTTTGGATCGAGAAAGTATCCTTTAAAGTATCGATACTGAACTGGTATTCCTCTACTGAGTGAAATGGTTGTTTTCCATAGAATACTGTGGAGAAAGTTTGGGGAAAAAATGTAAAAGAAAAATATTCATAAGATTCTTGTCAAGTTTCAACATTTAATAAACTTTCTTTGAAAACTGGAGTTGGTTAAAAAGCTTTTAAGTTTTAGTCAAAAATGTTTCAAATATAAAAATGGACAGACCACATCATGTAAGTTGTTCTGTAATTTTACTATTACTTCTGTATTTTTATAGTTCCAAGTCAGGACATTTCCTTACAAATACCTACAAACTTAGTCAACTATGATCACTTCCCCTGTTCTACTTGCAGGTCTTAGAAAAATTAAGTCTTGAATTTGCTCTGTGTCCAGTCAAGAAGCATCTAACTCGTTTATGATCATTCCTGAGAAGTTAAGTTCTCCTCCAGCAAGTATCTCACATAAGGGTTTTTTTGTTTGGGGTTATTCTGAGGGTAGGTGGGAGCTGCTTTATTTGGTTACCCTAAACCAGTTCCTGTTATCTTAATTCTCAACTATGTAGTTCACCTACCTTATCATCTACTTCTACTTCCACAATGACAGTTGGTGATGTAGTGGCTAGACAGAGCACTGGGCCTTGGAGTCAGGAAGACCTGAATTCAAATCCAGCCTCAGACACTTACTAGCTTATATGATCCTAAGGCAAATCACTTTACCTCTTTGCCTCAGTTACTTCAACTGTAAAATGGGGGTAATAACAGCACCTACCTTCCAGGATTGCTGTGAGGATCAAACGAAATATTAAAAAAAAAAAAGTACACAGTACCTGGCACATAGTGGAAGATACACGTTTATTCCTTTTTCCCTTCCCCTACTTTCCCTTGCCACTCAATATATTTGTCTTCCTGATTCCTGTGTACTTTGTGTCAATCCAATACTTGCTCTGACCTATGACATTTATATATTTCCAAACGATAGACAATAGATAACTCAGACTCCCAGTTCTGATTTTTACCAGAGGTTCTAGGGGTATTTCTTGAAGTCTAGCTCATCCCTAGTCCAATTCTAATTTTTAGTAACAATTTTTTATATTCCCAGTCCTGGTTCTGCATTATTCATCTATGAGTCGCTATTATCCTTATGTAAATTTAAGTTCCTTGAGAGGAGGGTCTATGTGATACCTACACCTTTAAATTCTCGGTACCTTACTTATGTTAGGAACTTAACACAATGTAATTTGTTGAACTGAATGGTCCTAGCACTGACCTTACTCATTTGTTATTCATAAGAATAATGACTCTATTATTAGCCAAGTACGGTAGCAATACCATATTTTATGAAATACATATTTAAGCAATGTTTTCCTAGTATTTGAGATGGTTTCCCAAATAAAATCTCCAACAGAAAAAGGTAAAGATTTAAGATGCCACATTAGGCATTAGAATTTGACGCAAAATACTCTGCTTCCTAATTAATTACCTACTTACCTACATTCCTTCTACAGAACTTACCCACCTTTAAAATTTGCCTTTTTTTACCAGCAGGACTCCTCCCTCGGGTCACAGAAATTTAACCTGCATGTTAACTCTATATTCATAACTGGAGGGACTTCTTTTGCCTACCATAGTAATGATGTCCGAGACAGAGAAGGCACCTAATTACTTTTTGATATTAATGAGGCGCTAGGTATTTAAATTCCAAATAGAGCTTACTCATAAAAAAAGGATTTTTGCATAATAATTTAAAGTCTCCAGTTATTTGGAAGACTCATTTTCTGAACTGATATCAAACATGAAAGAAACTTGGATACATTCATCATATTCACTAACCCTGTGTAAAGGACCTGTATAAAGGTGGTAACAATGGCCTTATACTCTAATACTTCCCATTTTTCCTATTTATTTCAGCTGCTCTGCCAAAGTCAGACTTAATTATTTTCTTCACAAGCTCTTACAACATTTGTTATACAGAATGCTCAAAGAATATTGGAGGATTTAATTTTGGAATAAACTGAAGATAAGCAGAAAGCATTTCTTTCAACTCTGGTGTGTGGAAGGGGGACAACAAGGGTTTTAGTCACTGTACTTGGAGACAGGAGATCTGTACTCATATTTCACGTCCATTTTTATTAGAACTTACAGTAAGCTTTACGAGGCACTGAACTCTTTGAAATCTTACTGAAATACATCAGTGTACATTCCTGCTTAAATATAATAATACAGTGAAGATAACTTTCTTTGAATATTAAGATGTTAACAGTGTTTCTCAAGATTATTAATTCTCAAATAAAGGATATAGGAAAGTAGGATGAATGTATGCTGATCATCAGGTAAATCCTCTGATAGTTGTTTTTTTGAACAAAATGCTAATATTAGCCTACCTGCTTCTTTCTGAAGAATAGAGTATAGAAAAATAAATTCTGGCTAAAACATTACTACCAAAGGACAGCTATATCAATAATTTCCACTGTATGATTACTTTTATCAAAACTATAATTTGGATATCTGATCTTCAAACAAGGATTTAGATTTGTGGTCATGGCTATTACATGAAATATGAATCAAAATGAGTTTGAAAAACTAGCCATGGCTTACCAACAGAAAACCAGGAAGGAGGTAGGTGAAGAGAAGGACTTCAGAAGTGCAACTACATCCAGATTCTTGAGTAGTATGTCTCAAGAACAGAAGAAATAGAGTGGTTTCAACATTCCATGGAAATACTCTAACACATAATAGTATATAGTTCAAAGGAGTTGTTTCCCAGGGTTCGGGCATGCGGAGGGGAAAGTTTCTTAACGTGTTAGTACTATGTAGCAATTATTCAAAGTCATTTAAAAACTCCAAGGATTAAGTCAGTTATTCACCCAGTAAAAGCCAGAAGAGACTGACTGAAATCTAAAGCAGTGACAACCCCACAAGCCTCTACAATTTATAAAGGTAGCTTTATGATCTCCAAGGAAAGGTTGCTAGAGAAAGATCAAAGAAGAGACACCTGTTATAAAAAGCTCGGAGAGAATACAGGGGGAACTTTTAATCCAGAAAGTTTTACTTCAGAATAAGTTTATTTTTTATGATTCCAGAAATTGGTTATTTGTGTATGTACTGTAGCCTCTTACTAGACTTTTGTGTATATACTACACTCCTATAGACTGAGTTCCAGAAGGAATTTGCATTCTTCCCCAGAACCTAGTATAATTCTCTACATATTATGGGCATTTAAAGTCTTATGGTATGATACAGGGTATACAAAACATTGTGCAATCCTCCTTAAGTTCTATATAAAAAAGATCAGCTATTAGTAGTAGTAGTAAGAAATAATTATAATAAAAATGATGAAAATTAGATCAGTAATTAACAAAAATAACGATACTAATGATATTTGCTGCTGAAAATTAAAAGTAGTAGCTGTCAAGATGTACTTAAAATACTATTGTTCTTAATAAAATATGAGAAATAAAACATTATCAACATGGAGTTATCACTACAACTCAGCTTATAAAAACAGCAGACAGAAGACTAAGAATGTCAAGATGAAATACAAAGAAAAAGACATCATACTTTTGACTTTATTTTATAATTATTCTGTATGATTTTATTTACATTTGATGGAGAGTAGGGTTTGTTCAGGTAAGACAAGTATCTCTGGTATGAGGGCCACGCCTTTTTCAGGGCTGCTTTCCACCCCTGGTATCCACCTGATTTACCCAACTGTCACCTGTGGCTACAAAAAGCTGTACCTTGCACAGCAGCCACACCCTGGTAAATCGTTTCAGAAGACAGGCTAAACCAGGTTAAGAGTAACTGAGGGGTCTCAAACCCTTCAGTGATTTAGGGGAGTATCTACCCAAAGCATGTGAAGACGTCCCCTGGCAGAATGGGCAAATGAGAACAATTTGTTCCAATGGCCACGAATGTGGCCGAAGCAGGTGCTATGGAGTGCTTAGAGCTTGGTTAGACATAGAAGATGCCATAGTCACCCACTGCATTCTGAGCCATCATCAGTCACCTTGGCTTTGTCTTGCCATTGAATTCCAATGACTCTGGAAGAGAGAGTGAGGTCAACAACTTGACACAACTCTGTCTCATTTAAATCCAATTTATGCTCTAATCAAAAGACCTCATTCATACCATTTTACCTTTTTTCCCCTACATCAAAGTCCCACGGCAAGAAGAAAGTGACAAAGCAGCAGGTACAGATACACTGGGAGCTGTAGTCATAAACCTGCACATAGGTGGCCAAGGTCACAGGGTTGTCTTCTCATTGGATTGAAGCAGCAGTGACATTCAGCAGCCCCTGGGTGTCTGAGCAGTCTTTTTGAAGGATCACACTGCTCACCTCCAGACATGAGCAAGGGACTAGAAAAGGTGTCCTAAAACTTTTCTGCTTACCCAACCCTTGCCTGCTTACCATGGTAGATAGGGATCCCACCCTGTAGTCGAAAAACAAAAAATGAACAAAAACTTTTACAAAGATGATTCCATGCACCATCTCTACTACATAGAATGTGTGTACGCTTATGGAGAATACAAAATCCAGCAGACCTGAAAGATGAACAGTTTTTGTTGCAAGAGAACTCAATCACATCCAAATAGCAGCACTGAGTGAAATATGGCTGGCAAATGAAGGTCAGCTTACTGAAGTTAGAAATAGATACGTGTTTTTTTCTGGAGTGGCCAAAGTGAAGGGGAGAGCCATAAAGCTGGTGTAGATTTTGCAATCAAATCTAATGTAGTCAACAAGCTTGTGTGCCTCCCAAAAGAAGCAAAGAACAGGCTCATGACAATGTGATTGCCACTTGTAGAAAAGCACCACAGTACCATCATCAGTGCATATGCCCCTAACATGATGAACCCTGATGAGATCAAAGAAAAATTTTATGAAGGTCTTGAGACTCTCATCATCAATGTGCCAAAAGAAGACAAGCTTATAATTCTGGGTGACTTTAATGCAAGAATAGGAATAAGACTACCAGATATGGCAGAAAGTCCTTGAGAGGAACAGAGTCAGAAACAGCAACAGCATTAGTCACTTACTCCCAAAAACTTGTGCCTCTCATGATATTCTCATCACCAACGCTGTCTTCCATTTACCTTAATGCAAAAAAATTCATGGATGCACCCTCGCAGCAGACATTGGCATTTAATAGACTCCATCATTGTAAGAAGAAGAGACAGACAGAATGTAAGAGGGTGTGGCACAGAGCACTGGACTGATCATAGACATCCTCTCTAAGCTAAATATTCACATTCAACAAAAGTGGTGGCCTCAAGGCAAGACATCTACCAGAAGACTTAATGCCAACAGATTTAGAGTGCTTCTCCTAGTGGGAAGTTTTTTTGGTTAACTTGGAGGGAAACCTGAGCCAACACAATTGGCAACAGTGGAGCAGAAAAGGAGTGGACAGCTTTCAGAGATTTGGTGTACAGCAATGCATTTACTCAGCTGGGCCAGAACACTTGCAAATATCAAAACTGGTTTGATGAATGTGATGGGAAAATTCAGAAGCTGCTAAATGAAAAACAAGAATTTCATAGGGTTTACCAACAAGATAGTTCATCCACCTCTAGGAAGGCAGCATAACTCCATCAAAAGTAAAGTGCATGCAAAGCTTAGAGAGATGTAGGATTCTTGGCTTAGTAAGAAGACAAATGAAATTCAGTTTTATGATGATAGTAACAATCCAAAGAACTTTTATGATGCCCTGAAGGCTATTTATGGGCCAAAGACCTATGGTGCATCTCAACTACTCAGTGCTGATGGAGCCATACTGATTAGTGACAAGGACATGGTCCTGAAGAGATAGCCTGAACACTTCCATAGTGTTTTCAACAGACCAATCAATGCTGAAGCCAATGACTATATACCTCAGGTTGAAGTCAATCTCTCTTTAGCCAAATTTCCAAATGAAGAGATTATGAATGCCACTTGGCTCCTTTTGTGGGACAAAGTGCCTGGTACTGATTCTATTCCAGCTGATGGATTTACAAGGCTGGGGGTCCACTGCTCATATACAAGGTAACTGAAATTTTCCAGGTTATATGGCAAGAGGAGGTTATCCCCCAGGAGTTCAAGGATGCCTTCACTGTACATCTCTATAAAGGTAAAGGAATTTAGATTGTCCTGTGACAATCACAGGGAGGTTTCTCTCTTAGTCACTGCTGGCAAAGTTCTTGCCAGAGTCTTCCTTAATAGGCTGATCCTTCACCTGGAAGATGGTCATCTACCTGAGAGGCAGTGTGGCTTCAAAAAGGGTCAAGGAACAGCTGATACAGTGTTTGTTGCTCAACATCTCCAGAAGAAATGCCAGGAGCAAAAGAGGTCTATACACAAAAATTCACTGATCTGATCAAAGCCTTTGACACTGTCAGTTATGAGGGCTTGTGGAAAATAATGGCAAAATTTGGTTGCCTGGGGAAGTTCATTAGCAATGTACATCAATTTCATGATGGCACACTTGCCCAGGTTCCGGGTAATAGATGATGCTCTCAATTTTTCGCAGTCACTAGAGGAGTGAAGCAAGACTGTGTACTTGCTCCCATGCTTTTTTAGCATGATGTTTTCCGCAATGTTAAAATGATATCAAGGTCAGCTACCACACTGACGATAAATTATTTAACTTGAAAAGTCTACAAACCAATACTAAATGGAGGGAGAGTTGGTGCATGATTTTTTTGTTCACAGATGACTGTGCACTCAATGCAGCTTCTGAGGCCAAGATGCAAGAAAGTATGGGTCAATTCTCTGCTGCTTGTGCTAATTTTGGCCTAACAATTAACATCAAGAAAACACAAGTTCTCCACCAGCCAGGACCACAACATCCATACAAGGAACCACTGATTACGGCAAATGGAGAAATTTTGAATGCCATGGATAAGTTCCCTTACCTTTGCAATATACTCTCCAAGGACACACACATAGATGATGAGGTTGATGCAGGCATTGCCAAAGCTAGCTCAGTGTTTGGGAGACTCCAAAGGAAAGTGTGTGAGAGAAGAGGTATTAGACTGACTACCAAACTGAAGGTCTAGAGAGCCACTGTGCTGACCTCATTGTTGTATCCCTGTGAAACCTGGAAAGTCGACAGCACCATGCAAGGAAACTGAATTGCTTCCATTTGAATTGTCTTAGGAAGATTCTGTAGATCACCTGGCAAGATAAGGTACTGGGCACTGAGGTCGTTGCTCAAGGTGGACTGACAAGCATTCAAACTCTACTGAAGAAAGTACAACTCTGATGGGCTGCCCATGTTGTTCAAATGCTAAACATATGTTTGCCAAAAGGACTGTTTTATGGTGAACTCACATGAGAGGCCAAAAGAAGCGATACAAAGACACTCTCAAGGTCTTTCTGAAGAACTTTAGAATCAAATGCATGACGTAAGACACTGGTAAAGGACCACCCATAGCATGGCATGCCCAAAAAAGAAGGCTCTGTGCTCTATGGGCAAAGCAGAATTGCAGTAGCTCAAAAGAAAAGTGGGATGTGCAAATTTAGAGACATCTCCATTCCAAATGTTTATGCAGATTCTTTGTGCCTGTCCTGTGGTAAGGCCTTCCGAGCTCATATTGGTATGATCAGAAACAGATGGACACACTGTACCAAGCTTGACTTCAACACAGTGAGGTCATTTTGGTCCTCTTCAAGAAAGGACAACCAACCACCAATCAACCAAATCAATTTACACTTGATAAGAAATTAACTTCCTATGTCTTATTTTAAATATGTACACACATAAACAAAACACTAATATGGTATTTTCCTGGGGAATCTTGGCTTTCCAGCCTAAAGACCAAGCTAAAAACACCATCTTGGTTATATTTTTATAATAAGCAATATCAATTCATCTGGCTGCGTTAAATAGGTTAGAAGACATAGTTCAGAGGAGGCAATAACAAGCCCCTTAAGAACGTACCCTAATCATTTAAACACCAATAGAAACATTAATCTTCCTTACCCCTATAAAGCATTACTATTCTTCTACCACACTATTTCATGTTACACATTTAATGCCTTTTATAAATGCTTAGTTCTTGAGTCTTTTACATAATTTACCCTGTATTTACTTTGTATACGTATTGTCTTTACTTAGCTGTGTACATGCTGCTTTCCTCTAATAGAATGTAAGTTCCTTGTGTGTAAGGATTGCTTTATTTTTGTCTTTATATCTGTAGGGCCTAGCACAATGCCCAGCACAATACCCAGCACATCACAGGTTCTTTCTTGCTGAACAAATGCTTTTTTGCAGTGTGTATCTTTCACCTAAGTCTAGTTCTTCAAAATAATGAGGCATGAATCACAATGTGCACCTCCTGTATGAATGCATAAAGTTTTTTTTTTAAATTTTGGAGGCAACGGAGGCTAACTGACTTGCCCAGAGTTACACAGCTAGCTAGCAAGTGTCTGAAGTCACATTTGAACTCAGGTCCTCCTGACTCCAGGCCCGGTGTTCTATCCACTGTACCACCTAGCTGCCCCACATAAATTATTTCTTAAATGACTACTGTACTACGAGCAAAGCACTGCTCTTAACACTGGGGATACAAATATAAAAAAGGCAATTCCTGCTCTCAAAGAGCTCTTTCTAATAGGGGAGACAACACATAAAGAAAGTTTCAACTGCAAGTCAAATGGAAAAGTATCATGGTCCTCCAGCTACACTGGGAAAGCAATGGTAATATCTCTTAAATGTCACTAATGACATTATGTAGGTGAAGAATGGAAGACAGAGGTGCAAAATGGAAATTAGAGCATTTGTAAGAAGAAAATAGTTTACCATGGTCTTCATTTAATCTAATTCTAAAAATTCATTTTATCTAATACTGAAAAATCAGGCTACAAATAAGTCAAGTTTTCTTTAAATTTTAAAGAATGAAACACACAATTTATTATGCAAGATAAGCAAACGTTAACTACCACAACATGATACTTATATTCCTAAGTTTATCTCTCACCATCCAACTCTGAGTTTGTTTTAGTTAACTGTATTCTAGTACCAAAGGAAATACTTCATATTTCAATGACATGCCATTGGTGTGGTCATTAGCTTCACCGATATAGATGTCAATTATTCTGTGACTTGGTTTAAAAAAAAAAAAAAAACTTACAGAATTACTACGACCAAAAAAATTCATCCCTCCGCAGCTAGGAATAAGCCTTTTCTAACCAGACTGATCTATTGATAATAGGCATACAGCCAATAACTAGGCCCATCCTTGGAAGCATTTACAACTTGATAGAACCTGCCCTTGAAATCTCTAAGAAAAAAAGCTGTAAAAATTTGTGTTGGTTTCCTGTGTAATTTTTCAGAAAAGTAACATGTTACATAGGTTTGAACAGTTTAAAAATCTGAATAAAAAGTTACTATATTATTATCAAATGTTCTCATACTTACCCATCATTTGGCTTCTCTTCAGGTTTAAGAACCACACCACATTGAGGATTCCAATTTCCCAAAGTGTCACAATCTCCACATATTGCAAAAATTTCTCCTTGAAGAGTGTCATAAATAACCAGTGAGTTTAAATGACAGGGGTGATCTCAGTTCTTAGTTTATGAAAGGAAGAAAAGATTAATCAGTTGCACTTAGTTCAACATAATCCTCTCTTCACAGGCCCAGATCAGCAAGATGATCAATAATCTGATCTTAAATACCCATTATTATTAGTAATGGACATTTAATAATAAAATCTAATGAGAAAAAAGCAACACAATAAATATTGTTTCTCAAAAAATAATCTAGCCGTCCAAAGCATTCCCAAATATGCCCTTCTGAAATCTAGGACCCTGAATATATTTCTTTAGCTTCAATCTAATATAGAATTATTTTACATTATAATGTATATGATGCCATTTTATGTGACTGGTTATTGTGGTATCTCATTTGACTTAAACGTACTTTTTTTTCTTAGGCAATTGGGGTTAAGTGATTAAATGTACTTTAAAAACTAAATGGTACACAGTATTCCTACAGCATTCTGTTTGATTAGCTATTTCCTACTTCAAAATTAATTTCAATAAGGTGCATGTGATCATTTCTATCAAAATAAAATGACCATAGGTCCTCAAATTTGAAAGCAAGCCTTATTCCTTACAATGATTAGAACTGGGTTTTTTTCCCCCAACATTACTGTCACAGAATTTTTTTTTTAAAAGAATGTCAGCAGGAAACAAAGAAAACAGGGAAAGTGGCCATTTTCCCCCAGGCTATACAAGAGCCTCTTATCACTCACATATGATCTTAGGTGTCTTGACAATGCTCAACAAGATAATAGAAGGAAAGAGAGGAGACAGTTATGGAGTGATGAAAGGTTAGAGTTAAAGAGACCCTTGAGGTCACCTAGTCCAACTCTCTCACTTTACAGAACAGGAAACAGACTTGTAAGAGATCAATCAACAAACACATATGTATTATGTGGCAGGCACTGTGCTGGGTTCAGGAGGTACTAAATGAATCTGTAATCACATCAATTTGGGAGTTTCCTCAAACAATGCAGACTATAATCAATCCACATGCCTTTCCTCCTGAAAAGTCAGGGAAGAGATTCAATCCAAAGTGCTGAAGCCTTTCCTAACTTTCTCTCAATACAATGAGAGTGGCAGTGGAAAACTCTAGTTGTCCACCTATCATCCCTTGATCCTTGCTACCTAACCTGTTCATCTTCTCTGTCATACAATTCCCTGATGATATCCTTTTCTATTCTCCTTTGGAGTTCCTCATTAGTTATACATTGCCACCTGCTCACAGCCAGTATGAGTCTTCATTGCCATCTATGTGATGCTCATCTCTTCTGAGATGATTTTTCTGTGTCTTGCTGCCATACAGTAATACTGGTGAAATATTTGTATTGAAAACATGGTCCTTTGCTTTAGATAATGTGGAGTCAGAAAAAGTGTTCTGCAATTTGCTGAAAGCAATTCAGACACACATATTATTGAATAAACTGTAATGGACATCCATTCAGGTACATGTTAAAATCTGGGCAAAAGATAATCCATCTATTTGGTCTCTGGTACGGAGAGACAGGTCAAACGCCTTTGAGTAATTACAAATTATCCTCCACGAGGCCTTGAACCATTCTGGGACTTAATGCAATCAACATAAGTCATCCATAAATGGAAATCTGAAGGACCTCTTCATCCAAGGGAATCCCTCTCCTTGACTTTGACTCTACACTGGATGTCCTACAGTCACAGTAGCAAATACTTGTGGCAAGCATATATCTCCCTATTTTATACCTTTCCTGATGTTATTTATTAGATTTCTGAACACAATTATTGGTGTTGCTTTATTTTCCAAGGAATTCTGAATGATCTTGACACAATGGATGGGAGTAACTTTGTTATAAAAGAGCCTGTAAGTTATCATTTTGTTCTGACAGTGTTTACCTCTCTTTGTTCTGAAAAGTATTTTTTCTTTCTTTCTTCATCCCCGGCACTCCTGGCACATAGTAAGCACTTAAATGCTTGCTGTTTGACTAATATCTCCCCTTTTTGAGACTGACTTGTATACTGGTCTCTCAGTACCATCATAAAGGTATAAATCTCCTCTGGATAGATTTGATCCAATCTGCCTACTTTTGCCATTTTTGTTCTCTTTAGCAAAAATTACTACCTGTATAATCACCTCAAGGATTGTGTGATGTTTCCACTATCCTTGATGAAAAAAGTTTGTTAAAATGACTGCTTGGTTGGATATCTTGCCAAGCATTCTTTAGACTGATTTATATCCCACTGCTTCTTTCTGCTTTGGGATAATGCTGCTCATAATCATCTATGATCCTTCTTCAGAAGACTGCACAGAGGAGTTTACCCATTTTAACTTGCTGTTGCCTTTGACAGCCATCTCTCTTTGGCAAGAAAGCCAAATGTATGCTAACTAAGGTGTTTTCTGGCCTCTTTTGGTCCCCTGGTTGCCGTAATTAATGTACATTGGTGTAAATTTTTAATGAATATGTTTAATAGAAATGTATATGTATAGCTTATATCAGATTGCGCACCGTCTTGGGGAGGAAGGGGGAGAAAAACTCAAGACTCAAAAATTTATGGAAGTGATTGTTGATAAATCAAAATAAAATAATTTAAAAAAATAAATTTTTAATGAAATAACTGGTATTAATATATCTCTGTTGTCCATTTCCCATTTTTTATTTTCAATAGTTTTCTTAAATAAGTCAGCATTAAATCTTAGTTTTATACCATCTTTTTCTCATAACTCTTCTTTCTTCTTGTTTATTATAAATAAAGATATTCACTCTGATGAGTTAATGATATAACTGTGCACAGATAACTCAGGGATGTTTATTTTCCTATTTGCTAATTTCAGTCCTTATGATCTTGCCATGTCTAGTGCCTAGAATTTTTTTTTAAGTGTTCATGATAAATCAGCATAAGGCTTCTACTTAATCTATGATGTCTGACCCTCACTCATTTCTTCCTAAGTCATAATTTCACATATACTTCTCTCCATACTCATCTTTACCACTCTTATATTAAAGTCTCCAAGTACAAGAGTCTATGTTGATTTGAAGAGTTTTATCAAGTTAATAATAGAATTTCTTATCCTCTGTACTCAGTTACCAACATTGGCAAATAAATAGCAACTATTTTCAAGGTGGGTTTTTTGGTAACTAGTTATTAATTAAAAATAACAATTAGTTAATAATGAATTAAATAATAATAGCTAGCATTTATAATGCCTACTATGTGCCAGGCACTGTCTTAAATGTTTTACAAATATGCCACAATTTGCTCAGCCAATTGATAGGTACACCTTTAGTCTCTCATTTACCAGTGTCAAAAGAGCTGCTTTATTTTTGAACATATAAGATCTTTTCCTCTTTCACTATCTCTTCGGTATTACTGTGGAAGGCACCAGCATCTTCCCAGGCACCTGCTACCCTTGACTTTTCAGTCTCTGTCACCACCCTCCCATATATCCAATCATTGCCAAGGCCCATCAGTTTTACCTTTGTAACATCCCAGCTTCTTTCTGTCCTCTGACATTGCCACCACCTCAGGGTAGGCCTTCATTTCCTTACCTCCAGAGTACTGCAACAACCTTTTGGTTGGTCTTCCTATCTCAAGTCTTTTCCTACTCCTGTCTATTCTCCACTCAGCTGTCAAATTAATCTTCCCAAAGTGATCTGACAATGAACATCCCCCCCAACATTAAATAAATTCCAATGAGAGTTCACCTCCAAGATCAAATATAAAATCTTCTGTTCAGCATTCAAAGCCTTTCGCAACATGATTCCCTCCTTCCTTTCCAATTTTCTTACATCTTCCTATCTGTATTCCAGTGATATAGGTCTTCCTGTTGTTCACACACAAGAAAGACACTTTATCTCCAGACTCTAGGCATTTTTTCACTGGCTGTTCCTCTTGCCTGGAATATTCTGTCTCCTAGCTTCCTTCAAGTCTAAGCTAAATTCCATCTGCTCCAAGCTCTTCCTGATCTTCATTAATGCTAGTGCCTTCCCTCTGCTGATTATCTCCAATATCCTATAAAATGCGGAAAATAATAGCATCTACCTTGCAAGGTTGTTGCTAAGTAGCACAGTAGATGGAGTACTGGGCCTGAAGTCAGTCAGTAAGATCTGAGAATTCAAATCTACCCACAGACATTTACTAGCTGTGTGACCCTGGGCAAGTCACTTGACCTCTTTTTGCCTCAGTTTCCTCATCTGCAAAATGGGGATAATAGGAGCACCTACTTCATAGGGTTATTGTGAAGATCAAATGGGATAATAATTGCAAAGCACTTAGCACAGTGCCTGACACATAGTAAGCACTATATAAATGTTAGGTGGTATTATTATTATTACTAATAACTTTGTAAAACATGCTTAGCACAGTGCCTAAAACATAAGAAGCTCTATATAAATACTTATCTTCCCTTCCCCTTCCTTTTCCTCTTTTGGTGAGAAAAAAACCTTTTCAAAGAACATGTGCAAATATTTTGCAAAACATTTAAAATATATACCACCCTCAATTTATTTCTTCTACTTAGCAGTTCTATAGTTTAAAATATTTCAGAATGAAGATGTTAATGCTATGTAAAAATTTTAAAAATAAAACTTCTCAATACCTGGTAACAGAGTTCCTCTTAATTCAAAGGTAACTTGAGAAGGTGTCATCTCAGCAGATTTATTTAGAATGTTGAACTAGAAAAAAATACACGATACAGGAAAATGTTAGCTATAGATATTGTCTTATCTAAAATACAATAAGTATTTGTAGTCAACTTTAAAAATTCATTAGAGAGATGAATTATTGAACCCCAACTTTTGCTCAAGTGATTAATTTCAGAGCCATTGTATAAAATAGGTATAACTTAATAACAGCACTTGCTCACTCCCAGCACTTGGGATGCCCTGGAATTAATCAGAGGGAGGAAATTTACAAAAAATATACTAAATAGACACCTCCAAGTTTTACACTATTAAAATTCCTGACTTTCCTTTATGGATATATTTATAAATAATGATGAAAGTATGGTGATTCTCTGGTCACATATGCCCTCTTTTGATAAGCAGCTGTTCTGAAGTCTCCACTACTATCTTTCTGAAACAGCTCTGAATGGTAAAGGGAAGCAATTTAACTATAAATAAAGAATTAAGCAACAAAAAAGTAAGATGTTTCTAATCTAACAAAATGGCAAGAGTTGAAATAAAATTAATTTACATAATATTCATTGTTTAACCAATTGTACGTGGCATCAATGATGGCATTCAATTTCTAAGACATAATATAATTAGTCAGCATTCAACATCTCCATCACAGGTCACCTTTTCCAATATCCTCTTTACAAACTGTACCAATGTCATTCAATTCCCCTTGGGCTACAAATGAGGGAATCATTTTTTTCTATTCTTTCTTTCCTTGCTACCCACATCTAATATATTACTAAGTCCTGCTGATACTTTTATGCAGTTTTTCTACGATCCACATCTTCCTTTCCATTTCTACAGCTACCACTCCCACACCCATCTCTTAGAACTTTGATCACTAGCCTCTTTGTCCCTCAATGTCCTCTCTACCATTCTATCCACAACTATTATAAAATATAAATAAAACTCAGTTTTTAATGTAACCTTTGCACTAGGGCAAGTATACACTGAAGTGAAGTTTGTTTTTTTCTTCTCTTTACTGTTGAGACACCCCCCTCCCCAAATCCTGGGAAGATCTTTATACTACACAACTAGGAATGTGAATACCAGTTCAAACCTTGTAAAACATCCTGGTCACTTGAGTTTCTTAGCAAGTCTTAACACAGACACACACACACTTTTACTGTGACCCCGCTCCCTCTAAACCATATAATTGCCATATGAATGCCTGAATGCAAACAGTCTGCTTCTGAGAACCTCTCTTGATAAACTGAACCCAGTAGTATCGCTAGGTGATTACGGGATATTCTCAGAATTAACCCCTATCTCTGCCTTCAACTACTCTCAGCATACTGGCTTACTGCTCTTATCCTCTAGCCACTATATAAAGGGCTCTCTGCATCATGCATATCTCCGTAGGGATATCGTTATCTGTTTATCTAACACCTAGAAATCTAGAATCTAATTAACACTTCCCCACTGATACCCTGACACTCCCTCCTCAATTGCAGAACTTTGGCATATAATTTCTGGGAGGTTATAAGAAAACTAAGGCCAGGACATATAATGGTCAACTACAACTTCCATGAGTTATAGTAACAATCTTACCTAGGAGATATGTAGTTGGCAACCCACTGAGTAATCTACCAATTTTTTAAAATCATCAATCTAATTTTACAGGTCATTCACTAATTTACTCTGCATTTTTCTAACTTACTTTTGTTGATGCAAACTCTATGTCAGCTACACTAAAACAATTAAGGTATTTAGTTGTACTAGATTGGGGGCTAACCTTTTCTGATATGGGACTCCTTTTGACTATCTGGTGAAACCTTTGGAGCCTTTTTTCAAAATAATGTTTTTAAATGCATAAAATAAAGAGAATTATAAGGGACATCAAATATATTGAAATAGTTATCAATTTTTTTTTTAAACTTCAAAGGCCCCAAGTTACGAACCTCTGTACCAAACGGTCTAAATCTAAGCAAGGTCCCACCTGGCTCTAACTTTTTTTTTAATACTATGATCATTGTACTAGGTACTTCTAGAGAAACAAAGGTTTTAGAAAATGAGTCCCAACTCAAAAGAGTTAATAATTTCAATAAAAAAAAGAACATTCTCAACCCAAGAAAGCTTAAAACAACTGTATTGAGTATATTGTTTTCCTCTACCTGAGATATTCCACCTACTCCTCTTTATTAAGCACTTTATAGAATGTTTTTATTAACTCCACTAGAAAAGCCACTCAACTAATCTCTAAGCTCGATGATCACTCTTCCAACTCTCTTATCATCTATTGATTCATCAAGGTTGCATTATAATGCCCTGATTTATATATTGCCTTTTAGACCATTTATTTTTAATTTTCCAGGTATAAATACTCTTATATCTTGTTTTCCCATACACAGAACATGCAATTTTGAAACAAGTGTTCAATAAATAATAACTATATCCAACATAACTGGATGGACACAATTCACCTATATAAACTATGAATAGCTATAAAAACCACGTAAACAAGAAATACTCCGAAGTTGGCTTGGCAACCTCAAAGTGGACAAATTCTTTAACATCACCTTGCCTCTAACCTTCACTTACTCTACCTAAAAGCCTAGATAGTAATACTTGCACTAACACACTGGGCTATTGTGAACAAAATGTTTTGCAAACTTTATAATTTTACAGATCCATGAGCTATTATCACTCTACTTGCTGAATGACAGACATTCCACTTCCAGCCTTAATTAGGAAAAAAAATTATTTGGAGAAAAAACTAAAAGGAAGTTCACTCCAAAATGAATTTAAGGAGCTATTAAGGTGTTTTATTTCTAAGAGTAAACACTATGTACTGAATGTACAACAAGATGACCTTCTGGGCTCCATTTCAGCTCTGGATCTGTGTTCCTGAGATCCTCTGCCTGAAAAAGTTTCTTGGGCTAGTTCTACATTTCTCTCCCCCTCTCACTCTTCAGTAGCTGTGTGTGATGCATCTAACACTAGCTGGGGGCAGTTAAAATGCTACTGGAGAGGCTAAGTCATTCCTAGTGGCAGCACTTCAGCAGTCACCTTAAGTGTCAGTGTCAAGTCTTTAAACTTGTAGGGTCAGGATCTCTAAATGTCAGTCCACCTAGAGACAACTAATTCTCAGGAATTGATTCATACCAACCGAAAACAAAAATGCCAATTTATTAATTTACAATAAATACCTTCATTCAAGTCCTTTAATTCCTCATGATGGCATGGAGGTAATCTGTGTTCTCAAAAAAATTGTGCCAGGAGGGCACAATTTCTAAGATATTGTACCAAAGGAAAGGCTTAAAGTGTGCACCCAGTTACTGAAGTGCATCTTCAGCCAACCTAGTTAAGAGAGACTTATTTCCAGAAGGTAGCCACAGCAACTTGGGAAGTTTATTAAGGTATGGAGGGATTTTAGAGAGATTACCCTTCCCATTCTTCCCCAAAGGGAAGAAACCGTGGATAGAACTGCCCACAATAGTGCAAACTCTTCCCAGTAGAAAGCCTACTAGGAAAACCAAATAACAGAAAATTGTTGAATGATGTTAACAGACAGTTTCTTAAACACAAATGCCTTGAGAAACTGTGTTACCCACAGAGATATCTGGATGATTGGAATAACCTTACTTTTCTATAGTGCTATACATAGACCAAGTGCTTTCTTCACAGTAACCTTTTGGGATAAGTGATACATTTTGCAAAATAATAAATTAAGTCTCAAAAAGGAAAGTGATTTTTCCATAGTCAAAGTGCTGGTAAGTATTAGAGCTGTGAGTGACTTGAACCTAAAACCTTTCCAGTATACTTTATTGCCCCTCTAAATATTTATTATAAATACTTACTATGTGGCTCTCCTTTCTAGATTCCAGGAAGAAAGTTTTAGTTTACATTTCATGCCAAAAGTTGTTACCATATTTCTAAAAGTATAGCAGCTCCCTAGTACTGCATTGTACTCATAAACATGGATACGAGCCAAAATTCTGGTGCAGGATTTAACTGCAGTTTTCTCACCTAGAATGACCTGAACTACCAGCAATATAGTACTGACAATATAAAATCCTGTTCTACTTTTTCATACATTGTTTTACAGGGAAAGTCTCTCTGGTTTTCCTTTTAAGAAAACATCTCAATTATAGGGGAGCAGGGGAAGCTGGAAAGTAAGTATTACTCCAAGAATAAAATACATAAAAGAAAACGTAAAAGATTAGAGATGTTTAGTATCCTCATTTTAATGTGAAGTTTAACTTTTATAATAACCAAATTTCCTATGATCTACAATAAAATGTCATCTTAGGCAAAGGTCATATTTATGTATCCCAGAAATCAATGTTTTTCAAATAGAAAAAAATTAAATGAAAGAGAAACACTCTAGTTTACTCATTTGAGCTTGCCTATATTATTTGTTATTTTTAAAAGATTCAAATAACTTGGCAGCAAAATACATGACAATAAATTTTAAATTGTCATTACCCTGTGAAATTTTATACTATATAAGCTTTTATCAGATAAATTTTTTTCTGGCTCACGTAGTAAACCCATCTCCCTAAATTTGGGAACAAAAAAGGGTTATAAAAACCTTTTCATAATAAAACTTTAAGTTACAAACATTTTTAGCTTCCCAGTAGCATTACAAGAATAGTCAAAAGGAACCATCATTCACAATTTTCCTTTTTTTGAATAAAAGGGAAAAATGTCAATTTCTTCTTGTCCTGTCCTAGAATTAAAGTAGCACTGGATACACATAATGTCTTTAGTTATTGTAGAAGAGCAAAGAAAAATTTCTAAATTTAAGTACTTGGGATTCTCCATTTCATGTGTGTTGGCATGGGTCCATTCTTTCTGATGCAGTTTTGCACCACTACACAGTTCCCCATAGGTTGTTACTTCTATCTGATGATGTCACTCAACCTTTCTCAGACTCAGTTTCTTTAGCTGTAAAAGAAAAGATGTACTAGCCTCACAGGGTTGTGTGAGGACCAAATGAGACTCTGTGTGTGTATACATACACACATAGTTTCAAACTTTAAAGCACCATGTAACTTCAGATATTATTACTTCATAAGAAGAATAGGGATAGGGACTAGACCTGTGATTTTATTGGTATAGGCAACATAGAGGAAATTGGTTCTACCAATTCAGGTCATCAACCTTCTCTGCAACTAAGAGACTCATTGAGTTGCCTAGGGTACTTTGATGTTATGTTAAGTGACTTACCCAGGCTCACAAATCAATATACGCCAGAGGTAGAACTTGAACCCTGATCTTCCAGACTCAGAAGCCAGCCAACTCTCTCTATCCACTCCACCACTCAGTCTCTTAAAGAGACAGTAAAAAATGTTAAAGAAAGCAAGGTCCTTTCTTCCTAAAACAATTCAAAGGGCTAAAAGCATTAAAACTGTACAATTTTATTAAGAAAAAATACAGCATTCTCAGACACTCATATAGGAACATTCTTTCCAATCCCCAAAGTCCAATATTGCTCAGGATAATATGAATGCTCTAGATTTTCATGATATTCCATGATGCTCTCCCCAAAAACCATGACTTCAGAATTCTTCAAGAATTTCTGCAAACAATATTCCACAATTGGAGAAAATGTTATCTCATATTTAGTCTTCCTAAGATACATATACAACGCATATGAGAGAAGGCTTGGGAGGAATCAGACTTATGTTCAAATCCCATTTTACTCTGAGTGTGAAATCTAGCATGTCATTTCCCGTCTGTGTGGCTCAATTGGCTCATCAGTAAAATGAGGAGATTGGCCTCAATAACCTCCTATGGTCACTTTCAGCTCCAAATTTATAACTCTATGGTGTATTTTTTTTAACATACATCGGAAAATATAGGAAAAAAAAGGTAACAAAATTCTCCGAGTAATGTTAACTTACACAGCAAACTCATGAAGCAAAAATTTTAGATTTGAAAAGACTACCTGTCAAATTATCTGAATGACAGGAGCCCTTAATGTTTTCCAGTATCTATGCTGAAGAATCATACAATGCAAAAATGCACTATACCAATTCCTTTCACTGAGTTAACTTAAGTTTGAAAAGAAATTTGCTGGATTTCCAGGACTAAAAAGGCTGAAAACGAACATTTAACATTCCAATAGAATAGAAGTTCCTTTGAGTTTGTCTGTATTGCAGCCTTTAATCCTGGGTACACATTGTAGGCACTTACTGTCTATTGAACTGACTCACAAATTAAAATTTACAGTTACAGGGCTATGTTGACATAATCTCATATTTCTGTTGAAAAAGACAAACATTACCATAAATAGGAAAGTCGAGTAGACTTGCTCAATTAAGCATAAGGAAAGAACCTTAGGAGTTCATGACTTGTAAAGGCTTTTTGATTGCAGGAATTGCTTCATCCTTTGTACATGTATTCCCAACGCCCAGCACTTGGTGAGCATTTCTTGACAGATAAGAGTAGCCCGCAACTCGGGCATTACTGAGAAAGCTCAATACAAGGCAGTGCTCTGGTCCGGGACCGAGAGAGGCAGTGATTAAGCTGATTCATCCACCAGGTCTCAGTTTGGTAAGAAAAGAAATCAAAACAAAACTCCAATCTATTAATTCTCCCCAAACTGGATGCCAACCCCTTACCCCCCAGCAGACTCCCCAGACCCAGAAGACTCAAGGAGCCGGCGATCAGGGCTGCCAGCCTCCCGCCCAGGGACCGTCCCACGGGACTCCCCCCCACCCCACCCCCCGCGCCCCCGGCCCCGGCCCGGCCAGAAGAGAACCTCGCCCCCTCCACCCAGCCTCGGCGGGGGACCAGCCCGCTCCAGGCATCCCTCGGCGGATAGTGGGGGAAAAAGAGTCCCTTGTCCCCGGCGAGGTCGTCACCACGCGCCCTTCCTTCCCCTCCTCCGCTAGACCTCGGGCGTGAGGACACGACCCCGGCGGGCTGGACAGTCCTCACTCAACACCTTTCCCCAGCGCCTCGCCGCTCACCGGCCCCAAAGCGGCGCCACGCGCCAGCGCCCCTCCCCCATCTTCATCCCTGTCTCCGCGCGCTCACCTGTCAGGGAGGGCGAGGCTAGCGGCGCTGAGGGGAGGGGGGGACCAGCGGGGGTCCTCCCAACTACGGGCTCCGCGCGTCTGCCGGCGCTGCCTCCGCGGCCGCTGCAGTGACAGCGTCAGGTCCCAGGCCCCCTCCTCGAGTATAGAACGACGGAGGAGAGAATCCGCTCGGCGCGGCTGCCGCCGGCCCTCTCTCAGTCCCGGGGCTGGCGGTCACCGCCGCTGCCGCGAGAGCGCTTCGCGAGGACTGCCTGGGGCAGCCCGGAGAAGGAGGAAACGGCTTCGCTCAAACCGGTTTCAGCTGCTCCGGACCAATAACCTAAACCACCCGAGGGGAGGGGGCGGGAGGAGCGGAGAAGGGGGTGACGTCACAAGGCAGCGCCGCGCTAAAGCCAATCAGCGCCCGGGACGGGGCCCGAAATGAAGACAGCGGTTCTTGGAAAGCCTTTTCTTTCCCTTCCGAGATTGGGGGCCGGCGCCCGAGCGTTTTCGGAGGTCTGGTTCTCTAGCCATCGGACCCCCGGACGGGGATTGGGCGGTCGGCTAGAAGAGCCCCGAGCCCACCCCTCCAGCTCCGTGGGTCTTTTTGTTTGAGGGGTGGCCCCGCCCTGGACCCCCCGCAAGCTGGCGGGGAAGTTGCGGGTACGGCGGCGAACGCCCAGCGGGGTGTCTGGGACTGCAGGTGTCCGGGCTGTGCGTTAGGACCGGCCAATGAGAGGGGGTGTTTAACACATGAAAGAATGTGTCTTTTTTGTAGCGTTGCCAACACGACACGGAGAGTTACTACAGGGCTCCAGTAATCATAGGAAGTGTTGGACATTGTTCGATTATCATTTTTTTTTAAGGAATCCATGCCAGAAAAAAAAAATTACTTGGCATGCGTTGAACTTGTGAAAAGTGAAGGCTCCACCAAAGAAAGTAGTTTGCAAACGTTTTCTATCCCAGGAAAGACCCACGTGCATATTTAAATGTTTGCTTGCCTGAGATTGTACATTTCGCAGCATAATTGTAAAGCTATAAAGTTAAATTTTCTTTTGGTATCATTAGTATGGCTAAAAATGCATTAAAGAAACTGGAGTAACTAAGAGATGGAAAATACTGGAGTTGAGAAAGGCTTTTCCGTTAAAGGCCTTTTCCTAAGAGAAAATTCTAACTCTAGCGGGTTGTTTTGGATATGATCTTGCCAGCCAGGGTCATTGGACTAGACTAGGTGATCACTCCAACTCTCCCAGCCTTAGAAGTCTATGTAAATTTTAATACTTTTTACACTAAATACACTTTGCAATAGTAGAAAAGGAAAAAAATATCCCTTTCCCTTATGTAACACCTAGATGAATTACCTCAATCCTGCAAAGTGGGAAGGAGTAAGCAAAACTAATTGATGGGAAAACAAGGACAAAAGCATTCTCCGTTGTAACCCGATGACTCCAGGACTTAACTAGTCTAAAAAAAATTTTTTTTTAATTTTACAACTTAAATGAAAATTAAATGAGGTAATGTGGATGAAAGTATTTTATAGGTAAAGGTAAAGGACATATGAATTACTGCTATAATTAAGATTTTCTTGATAGCCTGATATTGATGTTGTTCTGTTTCTAGTTACACTAGATTTATCCAATGAATTCCCTTCCTCATTGTTGCCACCCTCTAGGTGTTTATAAACAGAACTTTATTTCATCACCCAGCATTCCCTGTAGTCATCACTTAGCCAAGTCATCATTTACCAAAACATGTATGTTTTCAAGATGCAAGCCAAAATGTCCCTGCTCAGAAATTAGGTGTAATACATTTCAGCTTAAGAGCTGTGTTTAGTGAGCTGATCCAACCATTTTGGAGAGAGATTTGGAATTATCTCCAAAGAGTTATTAAACTGCATATACCCTTTGACCCAGCATTACCACTATTAGGTCTGTTTCCCAAGATGATTAGGGAAAATGACAGAACCTGTGTTTTCTAAAATATTTATAGCAGCTCTTCTTTGTGGTGGCAAAGAACTGGAAATTGTGGGACTGCCCATCAACTAGGGAATGGCTAAACGAATTGTGGGATGTGTTGATGATGGGATATTATTACCCTACTATAAGGAATGATGAACTCAATGAGTTTAGAAAAGCATGGAGAGACCTTCACAAAATAATGAAGATTGAGATAGGCAGAACCGAGAGAACATTGTATGCAGTAACAGCAGTATTGTTTTACAAACAACTTTGAGCAACCAAGTCATTCTGACTTATAAATACCCAAATTAACTTCAAAGATTCTATGAAGGACGATGCTGTTTGAATCCAGAAAAAGAACTGACATGTATATGTGTGTGTATGTGTGTGTAGGTACATACATATATGTGTATATGTGTGTAGGTACATACATATGTATGTGTGTATACATACATATATACACACAGAGATTTGTGTCCAATGATAGCCATCTCAAAGTTTGGGAGAGGGGGGAGGGAAAAAAAGTCATGCAGTAGAGAGGGAATGAGAGAGAGAGCTGTGTGACCCTGGGCAAGCCACATAACCCTGTTTGCCTCAGTTTCCTCATCTGTAAAATGAGGTGGTGAAGGAAGTAGCAAACTACTCCATTATCTTTGCCAGGAAAACCCCAGATGAGATCATGAAGAGTCAGACGTAACTAAACTGAACAACATTTTTTTTCTTTTATGGTACTTTTATAAGCAGGTAGTTTCCCATTGATAAAATTGCAGTGGGGAAGGCTGCCATTGAAAATTGAAAGAGTGCACAACAACCTCACATTATTAGTATAGCCTGGGGATGTAGTGGAAATAAAAGTTAAGATAATACTGCATAGGCCATCTTCTAAAATGCTCATCTTTAATTCTTATTATAGTCTGGATAGTTAACCATGACCAGATAGGGTTAAGTTTTCACCTGTTGGCTTTACTTATGATTAGCCAGTTGAAGTAAGAAGACAACATGGCATTGTGGAAAGAGAACTTAGTTCTAAGTCAGGAAAACCTGAGTTCAAGTCCTGCCTCTAACAAATACTGACTGTGATCGTGGGCTAGTTACCTTTCTAAGTTGGAAAGCACCTTATTTGCATTCATATACAGAGCCTACACTAACTGAAATTACAGGTTCAGTTCTCCCTACCCCCCCTTAAAAAAAACTCAAAAGTAAAAATTTACATAACTAAAATTAACTTGAGTAGTGTTCTTTTCAAAAGTTACACTATAGAAGTTTGACATACAGATGGAATTACAGGAGAAATGAAAACAATTTTAATGAATTTTAGATACTTTTCATGGAGAATCCTCTGGAAAAGCAGGTAGAGCATTTTGATCTGGACATTTAAGTATGTTCTATTCACTCTCTTCACTATTAGTGAGCATAGTGTCAGGCAATCAGGACAGTTATGGCAGCAAAGAGAATTGAAGATGAGAAAGCACACTTGTCCAAAGGCATCTTTAGTTGTAATTTCAAGGAGCTCGAGGTTCCCAACACTCACCTTCCTGAGAAAAACTGGTCAGAATATTGACAAGCCTGAGCAATGGCCTACATTCTGCTCCCCTCCCTTACCCCTCTCCCCCATCCATACCTCTCCAGCTATATACCTGGGAAATAGGCCCTCCCATGTTGCAATGGCTGATGAAGTGGTAACCATAACCTGCCTGACACCTTTCAGTGCTGGTTATCAAACCCTGGCTCCACTGTGCATGGGAGAGAGTATTTTATATAGTCCCCCTTTAAAGAGAAAAGAACATTTCCATTAGATCCATGATCCAAAAAACTCATTTGTCTCAAGTATTGGTCAGGTTTTCTTCTCCCCAGTGTTTTGTGCTAATGTTCTTCTGCCTCTGTAAAAGCCTTGGGTACATTCACCAGTGTGGGTTTAAAAGGATATGAAGAAGAAATTGATGGTTGCTGTTCAAAATCGTTCTGAAGGTATATTCTGAAGCCCTAATTCAAGATACTTTTAAAAAATGAATCAGTTTTAGAATTTTGGAATATTTTAACTTTAAGGTATGCTGAATTGGGATTCAGGGTCTTCCTGATCTTCCCCACAGCTAAGCAGCATATACATGTTCTCTAAATGAATGTCTTTTGTGATAAATTGATGGCAACACTAGAAAAAATTTTTTTATATAATAAGGAGTAAACTTAGAGAAATCTTTATTAACAGAAATGGTACAAGCTAAAAAATATTTAAATGAGGTCAGGTAAATCCATAAATTACAAGCTGTAATATGTTTTCAAGAGGAGCTAGGGCCTGCTGAAGCTGATACAGGGAAAATAATGATGCTGTCCCCCCAAACAGTGCCAGTGTTAGAAAGAGAATCTCCAATATAGTAGTTTTATTTTCTTATTTACACAGAGCCTCATAAAAATACATTACCATACTATTTTTCTAAAAGGTTTGCTACAGTATTTTTGTAAATAATAACAATGGAGAAAAAATATTTTTAATTTTAAATTCCTTATTTAATCAGCAAGGCCTAAGAAACAAAATCACTAAAGATTTCAGGTCCATAATGACAATCTGTCAAGAGCCCCTACATCATTCCTAATTAGTATAATCATTTGCATATCACAATACTAGATAAAATTAATTCTTTGGATATTGGT